TCAGTTGACCCACAAGATGCACCTGATCAACCTGAGTAAGAATCATTTATTTCGATTTTCTCATTTATTGAAGTGATAAGATCTAATGCATTTCTTTCTCACTTTCAAAACTACTTCTAACTGTTCAGGTATGTGAATATTGGGATTGTCGCTGGTATTCCTGTTTCAGTAAATGGAAAGGAGCTCTCTCCCGCAACTCTTCTTTCTCAGCTAAATGAAATTGGCGGAAGACATGGAATTGGACGAATAGACATGGTTGAAAATCGGCTCGTTGGAATGAAGAGCCGTGGAGTATATGAAACCCCTGGGGGAACTATCCTTTTCTCAGCTGTGCAAGAACTTGAGTCTCTTACACTTGATCGTGAAACAATCCAAGTCAAGGATTCTCTGGCCCTCAAATATGCGGAATTAGTTTATGCTGGCAGGTGGTTTGATCCACTTCGCGAGTCAATGGATGCTTTCATGGAGAATATTACCAAGACTACAACAGGTTCAGTTACTCTCAAACTATACAAAGGATCAGTTTCAGTGACAGGTCGTCAAAGTCCTAATAGTTTGTACAGACAAGATATCTCATCATTTGAGAGTGGGGATATCTACAATCAAGCCGATGCTGCAGGATTCATTCGTCTGTATGGGCTTCCAATGAGGGTTAGGGCAATGCTTGAGAAGGGTCTTTAAATTTGTTTTCATGTCGTGAATTGATGGTTTAGTGTTAACAGTTCCATCAAAGGGTCAGTAGAATCTTGTTTTTTTCCATTTTGTAGCACTGTAGTTTTTGTATTGCTCTGGAGGCTAGTTTGTCGTTAAGATTGTCTTGCAGAAATTTCTTCTGGTTCGAAATATTTGAAAGTCCATTAAGAAAAATTGCTAAATCTTGCAGTTTTGCTTTCCCCCTTCTGATTAATCTTATTTGTGTTTGATTACTAAATCTTGTTTGAGTAATTGACTAGTGAAACAAAATGTGGTAAGACTGCTGCAGGGCTTCCGTTCAGTGGTAAAAATGCAGCACGTGATGTGTGGTTAGGTGCATGTCACAAGTCTGAATCTTGCCATGGACAAAAGTCTAATATTAATTAGAGAAGGGTAGAGGGGCAGACTTATCATCCATCGAGTTTCAACTCGTGTGCTAGCTGGCCAAGAAGAAAATATGTAGCAAGACTTAAACATGTAATAACAACTGTAATCCTGTGGGGTTTAGCGAGGGTAGGATGTATGTAGATTTTGCCATGTCTTTGTAGAGTAGAGAGGTTGTTTTCGATAGACCTTTGACTCAAAATAAAGGAATTCAAAGCATGTTTGCAAGCTAAAAAAATATATGACACCACACTAGCAAGATACAAAGCAACTAAAACAAGATACTAAGATAGGCTAGAAAGAAAAAAATAACGGCAGCAAAATAGCAAGATGGACACCGCCAAAGAAGCAACATGTACAATGGATGAAGTAGAAGATACTACGCAAGCTGAACAAGAATACTACTAATACGGAGAAAAGGGGAAGAGAAGCTGAGCCCCCTGTCTCTCCCACATAAAGGTGCTAGAAAGCTCGACTACCTATTAACCTTTTATCCTAATTCTCGACCTCCAAACCTTTTTATCTAGGGTCTTGTCCTCAGTAAACGAGAGGTGTAATAAGTAAACACAATATTCTTGATGTTAACCCTGAAGCCATGGAATTGATATTGAGAAGCAACAATAATTTAATCTCAGAGCCAAACTTCTAGGCTTCTGATCAACATAAAGTAATTTTATTAGTCTAATCTTGGTTGACATGAATCTCATAGATAGTATAAGGACTGTTTGCACTTCATTTCATAGTCCTGAAATTTTTTGAACAAGATCTCTTCTGCCTCTTAGATGAAAAGCATCATCATCCAAAAGAATAAGATTCCTGAGGAAAAAAAAAGCAGCAAAGAATAAGAAACAGTTCACAACAATAACTACGTCTCAGTCCCAAACAAGTTGGGGTCGACAATTAATCTTCTGAAATCTGTTCATGGAATTTGGTAAGTGAAACTTCAACACGTGTTGAACGAAAAAGGTTCAATTCCATGCACCAACACCGTAACAACACTAGGAGAGAGGAAGCCTTTCAATTGACTCTCTGTTCTCTCTTAAATAAATAAAACTCAGATGCATCTTATGCTATGCATGTGATTGTGTATGCAGACCTTACTCTTACCTTGGAAGTAGAGAAACTATTTCCGACAAATCCTCAACTCAATGAAAAAAAACAATCCAAAGCAGTACAAAAAAAAAAAAGAATCAACAGAAATGAAGAAGCAATGACAAAAAGTATAGACAACATGACAAATCATGTGAATTTTTTTTATCTTTTTAGGACAGAAACAGTAATGTAGAAGCACAATACAGTTAGCAAAAGTTTTCAACTAAAGAAGACTTTTTGGTCCAAAAAGTATAAAACTTTGGACAGAGGAAACTAGAAAAAAAGGCATTGCCTTTACCTCCAATACTCATTCCTGTTTGAATCTTGTGTCTCCATGTCCCACTCAAAGCATATCCTGATCACATCACAAACACATTATTAGTTGACTGTTTTCGTTAGACTCTCGACTCAAGATAAAACATTCCAAAGCAGTCCAACAAGAAAAGTAACCGAAGTACAAGAAACAACAGATAACAACAAAGACAACCAGATAGTAACAGAGCATAAACTACAACAAAACAATACGATAATCGAGGTACAAGTAATCAATAGATTAGTAAAAAAAACATTTCAACAAACCTCTTCCATAGCAATTAATAGTAGTGTTAACACCATTCCTACAAATGCAAGCAAAAGACTCATCTGCACCAGAAAAACCACAAAATCCACCACTATCCTCACAGTTCTTGCAAGACTCATCAACATAATATGAATTATTATACTGCAAAGATATCCCAAACTCCCATTTCATAGGATCTCCTTCATCACCTCCAAATCCATATATCGATGAATATGAAGAACACTGAAGCCTAGGCAAGTTCAAACCATAACCTGAACCAACAGGAACTGGTGGATCATAAACACAACATGTTGAAATTGGATCATTTGGTTCTAATCCAATCCCAGTCACCCCTTTACAAGAATACATTCCCCTGCATACATTAGAACCCGAACCGCTATCACACAAGTCCTGTTTTGGATCAAACACAGCAGATGTTGTTGAACATCCTAGTAAAACAAACATGTTTTGTTTCATAATACTAAAGGGAGTTGAACTTGAATCATCATGATCCAATGTAAAACTGCCTGAATTCTGCATTGAGGAACATGTTGACATAAAGGGGTCAGTTAGAACAAATGTGTTGGTTGAGTAATCTAGTGAGGATATAGTGTAAATCCCAGAGGTAGTGGAAAATTGAAGAACTCCAGAAGTAGTGCATTTTATGAATCTTGAAAATGCAGGATGTCCACAACCAAAACCAGAACCAAAGGGATATTTTAGGACAATATTGCCACATTTATCAGTACATGAACCATTTAATAGGATGATACTTGGAACAGATTCAAGTGGATGAATTAGAAGAAATGAAAGAAAAAATAGAAAGATTTTGCTAGAACATGACATGATGAAAGGTATGAAAATAGAGTGATTTGAGTTACTTATGAATGTGGAAAATGAGCCTCTTAATTGTGACAGAGTTTTGAATTGACACAAAGTTTAAGAAGAAAAATAAGATTTTCGAATATTGTGGTCTTAAGCTAAAAGATATGTAGAATCAAGATTGTATCAAAATCTTATGGTCATAAACATGTTACGTAGACAGTATAAACTAAAAAGTTGTCAAAAAGGGAAACAAACATTATTTTTAAAACGGACTAATGAGAAAAGTAGGAGAAAAAAAATTGAAATTTGAGTAAATGGGGTATGCTCTTTTTGGTGGAGGAGTAATATTTTCAAATCTCCTTAAAAGAAGAGCCAGATTTTTATCATGCATTGTGACTACTGTATTCAGCCAAGTTTTCAAAGGATTCACAGTGAAAGAACAGTATGATTAAATAGAAGAATTTTTTTAAACCAATAAAGACAGTATGTTGAGTATAAAGTTGCATTTATTTAAACGATACAAAATTGACTTTATTAAAAAGCTATATAGAGGAAATCAATTATCAATGTAAAATGTTTAATTATTTCTTGATGCTTTGTCTAACCTGGTTTGTACAGATTATACACATATTATACATTTACCGGTTATTTTTAGTTTAAGCAATTGAACGAACGTAAAAAAAATTTACTCATCGTATAAAATTATTTGTTTTCAACTCTAACAACACAAAGCTGGAATAGCTCAGTTGGTTAGAGCGTGTGGCTGTTAACCCACAAGGTCGGAGGTTCGACCCCTCCTTCTAGCGTTTTTTTTTTAAAGTGTTTTTTTTAATTAATATTATTAAGTGATTCTTTTAATTAGTGTGTTATTTTTTTTATAAATCACTTAAACGAAATGATGGAAATAATAAAGAATAACAGATATTAATTAATCCTTCCATTTCTAAATAAATAAATAAATCCAATGTAATTCTGCAAAGTAAGGTCGGGGAAGGGTAAAATGAACACATACCTTATCACTATTTTAAAAGTAGAGAAGTTGTTTCCGATAGATCCTCGACTAAAAAAAAAAAGTCCAAATAGACTAGGTAAAAATAACATAAATGAAGGCAGTCATGACAAAATACTACAGACAATTTGACAAATCATCCTAAACAATAGTCATAACAAGTTACAAATATAATCAAAGTATATTACTACGAATAGTACAAAAATACGACTAATAGTAAAGAGGAATAATCTAGACAACGCTCAACTAACTAATCCTAATATGTATCCTTCGTAACCACTTATCTAATGTCACGTACTTAAGTCTTTAACACAACTTTAATGGATTTCGAGAAACACATTAAATTAAAGAAAATGATAATTTTGAAAAAAAATAATAACTACTCTATTCTTATTTATTTTTCACTCCTTTTTCTTTTCTTTATATCAAAAGGAGGACTTTCAGTTTGACTTCTCGCCGGCGAACACAATGGAGGGAGATCAAAAGGTGAATTCCACTTCTCCGGCGCCGGCGGCGGAGCCGGCGATGATGATCGAAGAATGGAACGGAACTTCGTCGACGAAACTCACGAAGACGGCCACCATAACTTCCACTTCTCATTCTTCGATCTCCATCCAAAGATCCAGTAACGCATTCACTCATATCTCTCAAAGAATTCTCCAAGCTTTCGTTCCTGAGGCAAGTTTTCCGGTCTCTTAAACTCAAAATTATACTCCCGCAGTTTAAAATTTGAAAAATTATACTCGCTCCATTTCAATTTGTTCGTCTTAATTTCCTTTTTAGTCAGCTTAAAAAATGCACATTTTACTGCAATTTGCGTATTTTTTTCTTAAATTCCGTGTCAAGTTAAAATCAAACATATAAATTGAAGCAGAGGGAGTATTTATATTAAGGCTGCACACACATTGTTACATAAGTACTAATGAGGCATGATTATGAACTCATTAACGTTTAATTGTTTGTTTAAGAGTGTAAGAATATTTAGGAAAGTGAAAGTATTTTAGTTGAATGGTATTTTAACAAAATATGAAAAAAAGATTTGATTTTTTTGGTGATTTAAGGAAAATGTTTACCAAGTTGAAACAGTTCTGAGATATTTGGTTGAATGGAGGTGTATAGGAAAAGGTCAAAAGATTTGATTTTTATTATGTTAGTAGAGAAATGATGCATAAGGTTAGATAAACAGTTATGTAATAGTATTGGTTTAATGGAGTATAAGCAAAAAAAAATAAAAAATTATTTTTTGTGGAAATGATTCATGAAGTTTGTTTCTTTTTCTTTGGAGCAAGAGATGTCGAGTGTGTTTCATCTGTATTGATTATTCTGTCTGATTATTCTTTTTGTTTTTTCAATTTATTTACAGGGGTATCCAACTAGTGTTACTCCAGACTATTTTCCTTTTCAAGTGTGGGATTCATTGCAGGTTAGACTTGTTGCCCATAAAACTAATTTTCTCTTTCTCAATTGGTGTTGAGGGCGGTGTTATCTTTCTGTTTTCATGTTATTGTTATATTACTGCAGGGGCTTTCTACGTATGTGCGGATGATGCTCTCTACACAAGTAAGAGAATATCAGTATTAATGTGAGTAACTTGTGATATTAAAGGTTAATTCACCTGCTCAAACAAATATAGGCTCTTCTAAGTGCTATAGGCGTTGGTGAGAAATCGGCTACTGTTATTGGGGCAACGTTTCAGGTGGAGTCCGACATTATTTTGTCCATTGCACTTTACATTGTATACTAGTTTGATGACAATGTTTTTGGAAAAATTAAAAATGTTCCAGTGGTTCTTGCGAGATTTAACTGGAATGCTTGGAGGTGTCTTGTTCACTTGTTACCAGGTTTCGTTCTTTTCTCTCTGGCATAGTTTTCCAGTATCGTATTGATCCTATGGTATCAATTATCAAATAATGCATGTCTTGATTCCTTTAAAAACTGAAGCTACAGAAGCATCTCATTTCTTCGACGATAAACGATTTCTCATCAGACTTGCACTCTTAACATTTCATTACCGGCTCTACGTGAAATATATGACAAACCAACGCTCCTTCCCCATAAAGGAAGGAAATGAAATGAAATGATGATTTCTTTTCCACTAAGATAGTTGTGATTGCAGCCTAGTATGGGGCTAAATAGAACATTCCTTCGGACAGTATTTTTTGATCTGCCTCTTACACCAAGTGTCCTATTAATGTTGATTGAATAGTAAATACTTGTTTGAAAATGACTGGTGTGGTTGCTTTCTTTTTCAGGGTTCTAATTTAGACAGCAATGCCAAAATGTGGCGTTTGGTGGCAGATCTCATGAATGATCTTGGTTTGCTCTTTCACCTGTATTTTGTGTTAACTCTAGTCACTTTTGTTCTTTGTATCGAAATTATATGAAAATATACTTCGTATTTTGGTGTATCCGATTACTATATGATGATGTTTGACTGGCCAGTGGCCATGGAGTTTAAGATGTTCTTTGACATTCATTTGTTTCTAGTGACAGTAGAAGAAAATTGTAAATTAATGGTAGAAAAATTTGGTCGATAGAGAAGATGTCACATCAAAATTTATTTGAACAGTTTAGTGAGTTTGAATTATTGAAAATTAGAAGTTGTGTAGAAGTTGGATGGTGCAAAATATTTTAGGACATTCAATAAAGGAAAGAGTGTCATATAAATTGGGACAAAGGGAGTATAAGGGATGGGGCACTGGCTATTCTTGTAATTTTAATTGATTTATTAAGTTTAGAAATGCAGCAACAAATTATTTAATATTACAGAACAGTTTCTAGAAGGTCAAATGACATTGCTTTGTGCTTCTGTTGTCATTCCTGAAACGCTCAATGACAATAAAATCATTTGCATTTCTTGCAGGAATGTTGATGGATCTTGTATCTCCTTTATTTCCATCAGCTTTTGTGTTCATCGTCTGCATAGGGAGCTTATCAAGGTCATTCAGTAAGTGAAATATCTGCTCTTTGAAATGGCAATATCGTTCACTTATCCTCTAATAAAAGAAAGTGTAAAGTCTGCCTGTGTCTAGCATGACCTGTTTGTCTAATGCCTTTTGTTTTTTAGGGTTGGGGCGGTTAGCATGAATTGTCTGATATATCAGATCCTTCACCCTGCCGAAAGTACTAAATGCGCTTTGTAATTCAATGTAAAGATGCTTCCCTTTACTATCTTGATCTGTTGTGTCTTGATTTATTACATGAGTGAATCTCATAGTATATATTTAAAATGAAACACAAGTTTTGAAAAGATGCTATATCGTTGAGTTGCTCTTACTGCAATCGTCTAGTCCTTTGTTCCAAGAGTCACATAAAATAGACATAAAGGTATCAAACTTTCTTTTCAAAAAAACTAGTCTAGTCCCTTGTTCCAAGAGTTGTACAAAATAGATATAAAGCTATTGAACTTTCTTTTTCTAAAAACTAGTTTCTTGCAGTATGTGAATCCAACATTGTGGGAAAGGTTAATCAGCTCCTGTTCCACGACGATATCTCTGTTAAAGTGCCTAAAATATTCAAAATTTCACATCAGCATTTGTTACAGAAACAATAAGTCTTCTCATTGTAGTCTTATCTAAGATTAAGAGCTTTGACATCTAAAAGATGATTGCACTATTTCTTTCACCTAGGTAATGGAAATTAGAATCAGCCACTGATCAGTTTCCTGTCCTTGTCATCATGAACTAACTTTTCGCCTTCATGTGTGGGTCAATTACTGTGGATCGCACCTTTTCCTTGTTGAATAAGTAGATTGATCTTATTGACAAGGAGGACAAATCCCATGTACAAGGGTTCCATTCTGCGAGCAGTACACTCATCTATATAGGTTTGAGAGTCCTTACGAGCAAAAACTAGAATGATAATTTGCAGTAGCAGTATTCCCTCTCCTCTCCTTCAAAACCTCTTCTATTCTTTCTTCCACACAAATTGCTCATGGAGTCACTTCCGGTCCCCTATTCATGACTTATTGCTTCCAAATAGTGCTATAATAGAGCTTGCATAATGCAGCTGATAGATAACAGGTCAAGTATCAAACTCTGCATTTCAGTCACGACTTCACAAATGAAAAATGCTTAACGGCCTATCCCGATCTCTTGCACATATATTGTATATTTGTATGGTCTATTGGTCCTCAATTTTGCAGCAGAAGATTGTTAATCGTTTGGCCTTACACTTCATAACTGTTCTACCTGTTAAATACTTTCGAAGTTTAGATTACATAATACATACAGTAATAGTTACTTATTTGCTCTAGAGTTATAATCTTCACTTTCTTCTTGACTGCTTTCTTTGTTTGTCCTTCTGACTAGAATATTATGAGATTTTAATTGCAGTAGCTTTATGATCTCTAGGTTTTCATGAACTTCATCCCATTTTAGATACTGGTTATTTTCTGGTAACAATTTTAAGAAGTTTGAAGTATGTTTTCAACCTTGGTGGCTAGCCTTAAAGCTTTAAATCTTTTACTAGAAGATGAATTTTCTGGTTAATGAGGCCAAATATGCTCTGCACTGATGGAACTGATTCTCTAAATCTCCTCTATTTTCTTGCCATTTAGCTGGTGTTGCTAGTGGTGCCACTAGAGCAGCTTTGACGCAGCACTTTGCCCTTGAAAACAATGCAGCAGATATAGCTGCAAAGGTATTGTGATAGATCTTACGGTGGCATTCATTTCAAAAAAGATAGTAAGGTGTCAAAGAACTGAATTCCTTTACTCAGACGGCATCCATTTTTCCTGTTCTGATAGGAAGGAAGCCAAGAAACTCTTGCTACAATGATTGGAATGGCTTTAGGAATGCTTCTTGCACGCCTCACAATTGGCCACTCCTTTGCCATTTGGATATCCTTTTTGTCTCTTACTATGTTCCATATGTATGGTTAGTTATGCTTTGCTTTGAATTCCCTGTTTCTGTGAGTTATAAAATGCAAAGCTGAAGCTTTCTAAAATGCAAGCCATACTAACTCCATGCATCTCGCAGCAAACTACAAGGCTGTCTGTTGTCTTTCGCTGAATACTCTGAACTGTGAAAGATGCTCCATTGTTTTATCACATTTCCTCAAGACAGGCCAAGGTTAGTAAATCATCTTAATTTTATCATAGTCATCAGAAGGGATAACTGTATCCATGCCCTAGAATATCATCTGAGTAGGAATATCTCATGATGTTGTGAGTCTAAAATGACTCAAATTTTTTGTTGCTTTTGCTTTTTGCAATAGAATCATTAACCATTAGAGTTCCTCTGTGTGCTGAATGTTGCAAGCACGAGTCTTTGAATATGCATGCAGAAAAAAATATGTGAATCTTGTGGAACATTAGTTCACTTACTTATCCAAAAAAACACTAGTTCACTTATCTGGAGGTTTCATGCATTGGTTTTCAGTACTCTCTCCAAAGCAGGTCTCTTCCATGGAGCATGTTCTACCTTTATGGATGACCTCGTGGAACTTAAAGGGTGGTGATTCTCTATACAAGCAAGTACGTTTAGGTGTCAGAGTTTCTTCACTTGACAGCCTTGCTATGTGAGTTTTCATGTTTCTTATTACTAATTTGCATCCATATCTGTTGAATGTGGTACTAGCAGAGAAGAAACATTATTTTCTTCTTCTCTACTTGTTAACAATTAAATTTGCTTCTTATTGTCGAAAAGGCTGAAGATATACAAACAGTATAGAGTGGTGTAATCTAGAGATAATAAAAATTATATATTTGAAGTAGGAAAATGAAAATTCCTATTCAGTTATCTTCTAGACATTTTATTCTTTATTAAAAAAATCCATAAGATTAAATATTGTTTCTTTCCTTAAAATCCTTTCCCTTTTATTTTGCATTTGATAAGGCTTAATTGATATCACTCATGACCATGTAATGTTGAAATGCAAACGAAAAGCTTGTAATATTAATTAGCCAGCTTCGAATAGCATGTTCTGTTAAATGGTACCTTGATATGCTCCTATACTCAAACTTTATGGTTAATGCATTTTTCTCTGAAGTGGCTCCCTAATGCACTTTCAATACTGCTCCTAGATTGTTAAAAATCAGTGTGTTGAATATTTGGGTAGTTGAGTAACAAATTGTCTTTGATGGATAGGGTTGACCTATTACAATCTGCTGGATCGCATTACAAGAAAGGTTGATAGATATATTAAATGTTTTCAAGCTAAACTACTTGAGCTAAGAATTTCTCTTATATCTTTTCTTTCGTCTTTCTAGAGAAATATTTACTTCAACAAAAAGGGGGTATTATCAGGATTATTACTCATAAGGATTCAGCGGGAGCTGATATATTACAATCGTTCATCCATGCTCTTGTCATGGCAAAACTAGATGATCAAGATGGATCCATGTCTTCGGAAAGCCAATCATGGATGGATAAGCATTATGAAGTTTTTGTTTTGAAGGTATTTGTCTACACGAGAAGCTCCTTTTAGAGAGGAAATTTCATAATATATTCACTGCTTTTACAAATTACACGGGTTACTTTACCCGTTAAGATTTAGGCAGATTGGAAGAGATCACCTTGTATTTTTTGCTTCCACTGAGATTTGAACATGAGATCTCATGGTTCTCCTCCCACTTCATTGACCATATGGCTGTACTCTTTGGTGCAGAAGTCACCCACATATAAAGCCAATTTTGTCATGCCAAATTTCCTGTAACCTGCTAGCTGTGCAGTTTCTGTTTTTAGATTGAGCTAAGTATCTTGTTTCTTTCACAATTCTGTCACAGCTTCAGTCATCAGGATGGAAGACTGAACGTCTACTATCATCATCAGTCGTTTGGAGAGCAAATTGGCTGGTAAATTATTCAGATGGCAAACATGACTAGTCTACTTTAATACAAAGTAAAAGTCATCTAGTTTCAGTCAGATGCTTTCAAATTACGACTTGGGGTGATTTCAATTCATCATTCGGTATGTCTTGGATCTTCCAATGATCATTGAGAAGGTAAAAGTTTAGCTCGGCCTACATGTTGTGTTCAAAGGATAGCATTTGATGGATAGTTTCCATGATCTTGGAGAAACTCTTGTTTATTGGAATTTTAAGTAGGTCCTGGATAATCTTGAAATCAGAGTTGTAATTTATTGGCCTTTAATATATGTTATGTAGGTCAAACTCCTCGTAGGGCTTGATGCCTGTATAGCCTTGTCTTTGTTAGAATGGTTAAATCTTGAGATGTGTGCTGCTTTTGAATGCTCCCTTGGGACAAGTGATGTACACTAGGGTTGTCCAAGTATTATCACCTATTGTCACAACTCGACTTGTACAATAATTTGGATTAGAGTTACGAGGTTCTAAAAACTTTACTTCCTATCTCAACTTGATATTTATGCTGTATTTTTTAAATGGTATCGGCATGGTGTAAAAGGGAGTCATGGAGCAACCATAAAGTTGTTTTCATGTGACTTATAGATCACAGGTTCAAACTGTGGAATCATGAGAGGAATTTTGGCAAGATGCCTTTTTTGGGGTGTGGATTTTACTACTTGTAGATGGCTTAACATACCTAGAGTAATTCTACAAGTGATCGCGGATAAACGATATGAGATGTATGATACCATTTAACGTTATAAGTTGTAAGAAAATAAGTAAACAATGCTGCTACTAGCTTTCATATTTTGGTTAAATTATGTATGTCACTTTTCACATCTCTAAAAGAAAATTATGTGGTTTTAATCAGATGAAATTTGAATAACAATGAATTGGTTGGCAATTTTGATATGAGTGTAGTGTATAAGTTAAATTACATTGCTAAAAGGACAACAATAATAATACCTGAAGAAACATTTAACTAAAATGTTGGTTAACAAGAAATTAAAAAAAAATTGAATTCGACTTTGGTTGATCAGCAACCAATATCTTGAGATGGTAACCACAACTGCTGGCATGATATGTTTGGACAGAGAATCGAGTCCTTGTGAATGGGGAAACTCGGGTGCTGTTATTTTATGATGGTTGGGACGATTGCTTCCATTACTGACCAGAAAGACACCAAATTCACCTTAGGTAGAAATAGTTGGTAGGGGAATACCTTCTACAAAAGGTTTAAAATGGTGAATCGGGGTAGAGTAGCCCGATGATCCTATAGTCATTTGGGCGGCTATTGAAAGAGAAGCATATTCTACCTAGAACATAGGGTTATTCGGGAATATTACCTTCTGGCATCCATACACGAAGGAGCTGGTCATAAAACGAGCAAGTAGCGATGACATTATTCTTCTCTAAACGACCTCTTTGCCAATCTGCTCCATATGCCAGGGAACCATGCTTATTATAGGTTTCAACTACTTCAGCTTGATCACCTTTAACTTTGACAACTGCAAATCCGTTGTGCATACAAGCAGTCAAGACTAGGTCCGGTACAGAAGGATGGTACTTGATTCTCCAAACCCCTCCACCTAAGGAGATTGACGTCTCATGTACAGGTTTTGCGGTTGATCTTACATCCCATACCCTTAGGTGTTCATCATAGCTACCGGTGAGTAAGGTATAAGGGTCACTTGGACTCTTAGCAATGCAGCAAATCCCCATTGTGTGAACTTTTCTATTTTGGAATGCTATGTTAGAGGGATCATCTCGCAAATCCCAGCAACTAAATTTGCAGTCATCTGAACCTGTATACACCAGCTGTGGTTGGTGGATATCAAAAGAGGCAGCCCAAACTTCAAAGTCATGCGCTTTCCAGTCTCTGGAAATGCTCAGTTGAGACTCGAGGAGTGAAGTTATCGAGACTGATCCATCTGAAAGCCCCACAGCGAGGGATGTAGCTGATGGATTCCAGTCTATACACAAGCACATAGAGGAACTGACATGTTCGTCGCTTATCTCCAGTAAACTATTCCCTGTAATAATAATAAGATCCTGCCATGTTAGTGCTTCAGTTGGTTATTAAAAGTAAAGTGCCAAATGAAGCAAGGTACTTCAAGAACCACCAATGCTAAATGAAAAAGGGAAAAAGAGGTCGATGGGAATAACAACAACAACACACCCAGTATAACTTCTTAATAGCTAAGTGAAAAAAATCAGTTTCAAATGAAGGTGGTTATGTATTATGTCAAAGGTCATTGAGACATTGTATTCCAATTCATCCAATCTACACATTATTAAAAGATTTCCATCATCTCCTTCCTCTGTTACATATAACTGCTATAAAGCACCTTTAACCTCATACAAGTGTATTTCAGTGCTTTTACCAATATATTTTTAATAAAATCAACAAAATGATATCTCCCAAAGCTATCTATTCCTAATCCGATAGCAACCTGAGGGCTACCTTATATGCCTCTGATCCAATACAACAACATACTACACCTCGATGCCAAGTTAGACTAGACGCATTTCTCAACACTAGACTCATTTCATTCCAGATACTCCATAACTTGGTTTTCATAGTAGATAAAAAACTAAATATGTTCTCCCTCATGTAACACTTCCCCTTTGATGATAAATAACATAAAGCACGACAAGAGATGCTCAAACATACCAGGAACTTGTGATTCATCCAAACAAGATTCAAGTTTGTGAACTCTAACATAACCATCAGCATCAGCTTGAGCAAGTAGTGGCTCCACAATTCCACCAATCGGGCTCCATTTTATATCAAATATACCAGCTGTTTGTACTCTATGTATCAAACTAAGGCGACTGGAATCAGCATCAACATCAAACAGGGATATACTACCAGTTCTACTAGGTTGATCTCCTTCTTGTAAAGTATACGTACATGCTGCTAGAACATTGTGAAAAGATTCGTGTGGACAAAACTCCACAGCATCAGCATTTCCATCTAGATGGCAATGAGCTATATCCATACCTGAATAACATAAACTACAAGAATGAATAAAAAAATATCAAGTTCAGTTGGACATTTTGTCGAACATGTTGTGAACTATCACTTAGTTAGCGTTTGGCCATAGATTTTGGATCAGATTTTGAATTCACTCACAAAAGTTTGAATCTTTAAAACTAAAAATGAGAAATCGAATTGAAAACTGGAAATTTTCAGGTGTAAAACCGGATTATTGTTCATTAAACTGCATTTTTCATCAGCATAAAAGCAAAATTAGAAAATAAATTACTGAGAATCAGAGAATTGACTCACCGGAGTGTTTTTCCGATGATTTTGCCGATCAGTATGTGCTTATGGCGGCTGCTTAGTTCACCGGCGGCTTCAGAAAGCTTGGTGGTAGTTCAAAAATAGTCCTTTTAAGTATGTATTTAATAATTTGAGTCTTTTAATATTTCGCAAGATCTCGATATTGCAGTGAAATAAACTCCTAAAGTTTCTATGAGCAAAATAAACTCCTAAATTCTCAAAAAGTAAGGTGTTTGTGAAGTTATAGTTTGAAAATGAAACTAATAATATTCGTGTTCAGGAGTATTTTCAATACTTCTCTTATAAATATTTATCGAAACAAGAACATACATTTTTTGTAGTATCTATTATTTTTGGTTTATTTCTAAAATTTTGTATCGAGATTTTGTGAAATTACACTGAATATATTCGCACAACTTTTTGAAGGGGGTAATGTGTGATATTTTTAATATCTTTTTGGTCTAGTGTAGTTTTTTTGTTGCATTTTTATGATTTGATTAAGAAAATTGACATTTATGGTTCAAAAAAATCATTGCTTTCGTCAAATCTAAAGATTATAAATTGTTGAATATTTCATAAAGACTAAAGTATTACACGAAAAACTTAAAAGACACATTGTTTAGTGTATAGTTAAAGGACTATTTTAAACTTACCCACAAATATAAAGACAAACTAGTCATGTCGTTTCATTTAAAATCATAACGTATAACAAGAATTCTTTACAAATTGACTAGTTTTACGCTCGTTGTCAGTCTATCATCCTCATTTTGCTATAGTTTTGCAGCTTAAAATATATATATATATATATATATATATATATATATATATATATATATATATATATATATATATATATTAGTATGACAGAACTGAACTTGACACAATTATTTTCAGGAACTCACACTTCAAATACATAAGCCAAATGAACATTCTTCTAACTCTGTGTTGAGTCAAACATCATCATAAAAACGAGAGGAGTTAACTAAAATCAATCCTCCTCTTTCTCCGATTAAATTATTTCTCCCTAATTTTAGGGGTCGCGACAACAAGGAAATGTAAACATAATATGTACAGAAGAACATATTCTTACAACTACGCTACGTCGCGCTATTTGCGATGCCCTGATGATGCCATGAGAATTGCAACAGCTGCTGTAAACATTAACAACATGCCTGCAAGAAGTGTATATGTTTTCCTTGATGATCTTCTGTATTCTCCAAACAAAATCACCCCCCAAAATGTGCTAACAAGAGGCAATGCCTGCAAATTTGACATATATTTCAAATGACCAAGTGTGTTCGATATAGAGAACGATATACGAGTAATCAATCTGATAATAGATAATCCCTACAGTTCATTTTACGTGAATCTATTTGACTGAGCACAGAGTTTAAGAAAGAAAAAAAAGAAATCTGCGGAAACTTATGGTCTTAAACATGTCATGATGATGTTTGTGTGTGTCTGTAAAGTCATGTCATTGGTAAAATAGGACGTTTAAAGTTAAATTGTTTCCAAATATAGAAAGATGTCATTTTTTTGGAATAAAACTTAAAAGGAAATAGTGTCGTAACTAGAACAAAGGGAATATTACTCTAACATCAACAATTTTTAGACTCCGGTATAAGAGTTTTGCAGAGCGGTAATGATCTTAGATAACGGAGGAAGGTTCCTTATGTCATAGTGGATTCATATAGTCAACGAAATGAGACGTAGTTGATGTATATTAAAAGTACAATTGGCTGATAAATGCACGAACCTGAACAGCGTCTGCAGCTGCATATCCAGCTGCTTGACCCCCCATGAATTGGAGACCATTACCAAAGCCACACAAAAGTCCAGCCAAAAGGGCCCAACCTCTGCCATTCCAGTCGTTGAGATAAGCCTTGAACGATGACTTGGGTGCATTTAGTATAGGGTAGTACAAGAAGGTGAGGTTCAAAACCATGGCAATTACGAAACAAAAGCATGAGAAGTAGAAAAATGCTGTATAGACAGTCAAGTGTGGAACTCCATCTTTGAGAGTATGCCATTGATCATTTGTGGCTAGGTTGAAAGCAGGCGAGAACATAGAGAAGCAAATCCCAGCAAAGAATGTTATGGTCAAACCAATGAGCGTGCCCTTCCCGAGAACCTGCAAGCATACACAAATTTAACAATTAGAATGTAGCTACAATGTATTTCACAAAAACATTAGTAAGTTATTCTGTTGTT